CGTGGAGCACTGGGTGTTATGCACAAACAATGAATCATGGAACACTCCATCAAAAACTAATGATGTAATGTATGGTGATTAACATAACAAAAAAGTAAAAAGATAAAAATAAAAAATAAAAAAAATTAATGAAATGAACTAAATGTGGTAGATCCTTTTGAATGGAGGCTTTTCTGGAATTGGTCTGACATTATAATGGACTTTCCATGAGAGTCCTAGGCCACGACAATTCTGATTAAATTCCAAAAGCAATGCCTTCCTACATGAGGGAAGATGACCATTTCCATGTATATATGTGATACCAAAACACACTAATGACAGAGAAACTTGCTCAGTCATCTTAGATGGACTCTCGTTGACTTGCCTTCTGACCTCAGTTAAGTGAACTTGGACTTTAATATCAACTTTTTCATAATAAAAATAAAATAATACTTTCATATATTGAATATATATGAATTTGTTATTAAATATTAGGGTAATAAAATTAAAGTTAGTGTATTTTATGCACAGATAAATGCATAATATTTTCTTTTTCTTCTCCAAATTAACTTTAGATTCAAATGTACCAGCTGTCCAGGCTCCTTCATGACTATCACAGAGATCTCTACAATCATCTTGAAGAAAATGAAATCAGCCCCAGTCTTTATGCTGCCCCCTGGTTCCTCACATTGTTTGCCTCTCAGTTTCCACTAGGATTTGTAGCCAGAGTTTTTGGTAAGAGATGCCTATGATCAAATGGAACAGTGTTATTTATTCCAAGGAATGTTCTTCTCACCATGTGGTGCCCCAATTTTATCGTGTGTTACACAGAATAGCAAATTGCCAGTAGACTTTAATATATGTGCCTGGCTCTATTCTGAGAGTAATTTACAACTATATTGGTCTTAAATGAAATTGAAATTAAAAGGGAAAGGAGAATTGGGCCTTGTGTTCGAGTAGTTGTGATGGAGCTCTTACTTTCATTTATACCCCCAAATCAGAAGGCGCTTTTTTAAAAATCCCAACTAAGGACTTACTATGTATAATTTTCCAGATTTTTATGCACAACCTTCTTAGCTCAGTTTTTGTTTTTCTTTCCCCATTGTCTCCTTCAACACTAGTTCAGAACAGAGGGAAACATGTTCTCTGGTTGGGTCAATGGAAGTACCTGTATCAATGTGATTTCTAATGACTTTTTTTTTTTAAACCTGACTTTCGTTAATAAAATAACTGAAATTCCTGTTTTATTGCTTAAGTGACTCTCCTTCCATGCCAGTGAAGTGGTGGCATCAATCTCTAAGACTGGGTGGCTCAGGGAAAAAGCACTAAACACAGGCAATAAGGCCTAGGGCAAGATACTGAGTTCCCGTCTTGCTTCATCACAGTGTTAGGCACCAGGAATAAACTATGATGTGGTTTATGCACCCTTTGGGGGTCCTTAAAATGTATGCACAAGTTTTTAGTGAGGTTTATCTAAATCCATTATTTAAAAAACAAAAATTTTTTAAAAAACAGCTCTTTACTAGAGGTTTGTTCTGAAAGAGGTTTAGGACCTCTGTGACCTCAGAAGAGGCTCCCACAGTTTTTACATCCTGCTTATCTGGTATCCATGGTGAAAGCAGTCAATATTTGTAACCGTGCCTTTGCTAAATTGGAGCTTTTTGTCAAATTGTGAGTATTGGCCTGATTGTAGGTCGTTACCAGCATTAGAAAAGCATTAGAAAAAAAAATGAGCTAGAATGGAATGTAATGAAAATATCAGAGTATAACAAATAGTAAGGAAAAATGTTTGGAGAATCTTCAATTTTGAAGATACGTGTGTAATATGTATACATATGCCAGATAACAATGTATGGTGTCTTTCTTATTGGGGACTGTGGTTTAAAAAGTTAAAACACTGAATTAGTGTAATACAATCTGTAGACAAAGTACAGCAAAAGAGTAAAATCAAGATGCGCAGAATCAAATGTTCACCAAATTTCTCTTCTTTATTAAAATACTGGATTGCTTCTCTTCAGTTAAGTTTTTGGGTGGAGTTTGGTTCCTATTCTTGGGTCTTTTAAAATCCTTTCATTCATAATATATATTATATATATATATAATATATATTTACTCTCAGGATATATATATTTTTCTTAGAATAATTTATCAAATCAAAATGATAAAATGATGTTTGAAAGCATCTCTCTTTGACTTACGCTTGGGAGCATGATATTAGAATTCAAGAAACAAACCTCCACAATTCTATTTTTTGCAATGAGAATATGACTGATGCCATCAGCTCTGCAGTAGCTGCTCAGTCCTTTTCTTTGAATTTAGTAAAGGGAAAGATGCATGAGCAGAAGTTCACAATTTCCTATTTTTTAAAGACTCCCTGTTGCTTATTACTGTTTCTAGAGTGGCAAAGATTGAAACTTTCAAACAGAAATATTTGGTACTTTCAAAACTATTGCCTGTTTGTACTTGTTAGGAAGTAGAGTTCAGAGTCCGGGTAGCTTTTCTGTTTTTCTGTTTTACTTCTGATTTAGGTTATATATTGATTTTGATTTTTCTCTTAAATTTTTTTTAAATTTCTTGCTCTGGTATAGGTTTAATTGCATATTAACTGGTTCCTTTATTTTTTATTATGGTAATGAGAGTTTAAATAGTACTAATTGCTTATGTTGATTTGTTTTTGTATTCCCCTTGTGAAGAAAAATCAAAGTATCAGTTGAATAAGCATCTTTAGGTTTACCTAGTCTCTGTTAAATTTGCTACTAAAAATTAAAAATACATAGACAAACAGCTATGTAATTAACCTTTTTTACTTTTTACCTTGGCCTTATCTGAGATTCCTAAATAAGTAAGAAAAATACTTAAACATCTGTTTGTTTGTCATATTATTTTTTTTAAATGTAGATGATCTCAAACCATATTCTTTTGCAGACTATTCCATCGTTCCACTGCAGTAATTAAAAACAACCACCACAAGAAACACAAAAAGCCATTAGCACAAAGTGTATACTTTTTACAATAGTGGATGCATAATTTTGATCATGAAATTATATCTCTTCTTTTAGATATTATTTTTCTTCAGGGAACTGAAGTTATATTTAAGGTTGCACTCAGTCTGCTGAGCAGCCAGGAGACACTTATAATGGAATGTGAAAACTTTGAAAGTATTGTTGAATTTCTTAAAACCACACTACCTGATATGAATACATCTGAAATGGAAAAAATCATTACCCAGGTATGATTAAAATGATAATAATAAGATATAAAATCATTCAGCAGTTTCTCCACTAATTATATATTAAATGCATTAGCATAAAGACTTAGTTTTGTTTGATAGATTTTTTTATTTGATCAGATATATTTTATTTGGAAATGAGATTATCGTGGAACTTCTACATTGTGACACTGTCTGTGTGGCTATGCACAGGAAAAGTGCCTCAGCGCTACATAAGGAATGTTTGGTGAATCTTCCCATTTAGACCAACGGTAAGACTGAAGGCAGAGCTGACAGAGTTAGGAAAACCTAATAAATAAATAAAAATGAGACCCACTTACCCTTGCGATACTAATTCTGTCTTAAAATATATAAGGAGGACACATGGCAAGAACCTAGGCTTTGGAATTAGACAGTATTGGGTTTGCATCATGTTCTAACTCTTTTATGAATTGGTGGGCTTGTACACATCTCCCTAATCTTCTGAACTCTAGTGTTCTTACCTTCCAAACAGGACAGTACTGATTCGGAGGTTTTGTGAGGCTAAAGTGTAGGAAACAGTCTGTCGTCAATGATTCAAACAAAGGTGCCATTTTATAGAGGTTGGGGCAGGGTTAAGAGAACCAAATGGGGATATCCAAGTGCCCAGGAACTAGTAACAGAGGGAAGGATCTAATAGTATTACCAGGCCCAGTGAGTACCAGAACTATGCAGGAGGGGAGTTTGGAGGTTTCTGTGCTCTTGGTGAGCCAGGCAAGGAAGGAGCAAGGAAGAAAGACCAACCTCTCTCTCTTTCTCTTTCTGATCTCCTGCTGGCTGCTCTTCTGGACCATACCCAACCAGAGCCAGCAAGAAAGGAGGTGTGAAAGGCGGATGCAGGTCACAAGAGTCTGTCTCCCAGGTCCAGCAGAACAGATGAGGGCAGAGAATGGATCTGGGAAACAAGTGGAGAATAATCAATACATCACGTATCTAGTCCCTGGCTCTTCATAGGGACTAGGTTCAGTGGTAGTTATATATTGATGTTACTCAGATGACATGAACAAACTTAAGATTCATAGATGACTGCTTTAGCAGTATTGATAAAATTTACCACTTTCCTAGAGGCACTTGGGATAGCAGATAAAAGAGTTTAGAGCAAGAGAAAGGGAATTTGACATAGTGTTCTAGTGCCTTACTTCCTATTAGCTGTGTGACTTTGGGCAAGTTTCAAACTCTCTGAGTCTCAGCTTCCTCCCTTACAAAATGAGAATAACAATGACGATCCTGTTACTTTTTCATATTGTTTTTAGGAGCAAATTTAACCAATTAGGTTGAAGAATTTTATACACTGTAATTCACACTATAACATGAACTCTTATTCTATGACATATAAAAGTTTCTTTTTATGGAATCTAAGTCACAAGCAGATTATTCTGTAAATATCTATGAACAGTTTTGTTAAAATGCTGTGTAAGCTGAAAAATGTAGCTTTTATTTACATATGTACTTGTTTATTAATTCTTCAGAAATATCTTTTTGGACTGGGAAGCAGTCAGAGATTGTGCTTTTAGAGAAGTGATAATATGATTTGAAGTCAGATCACCTCTCTTCTAAAATTAAGGAGGGAATTACCTGGCTTTAGAGATCTTTGCTAGGATGAATGGATAGAATTTATAGGCAGGTAGATTTGGACTTGACATAAGAGAGATTTTTCTAACAATTAGAGTTGATTTAAAATGGAATGAACTGTTGATATTAAAGGAGACCTTGATGAGCTTTACTTAATAAAACAATGCCAATAATGCAGAAAAGCACAAAGGAAAAAATAAAAGTAAAAAAAGAAAGAAAAGAAAACCTACTAAACACATCTCTCTGCTTAAATATAAAGTGAAATCATACTATACATGCTATTATGTAACCTCATTTTTTTTGACAGTTTTTAGTTGTACCTTTATTCACCTTAGTACATTAAAAATGTACTTGGTTTAGAGATCTTAGTGACCACCCACTAATGTGGGATAGAAGTCACCCCTCTCTGCATGGTACTTGTTTTTTTAAAAAGCGGAATTTCTTCTAGGAATCTTACTGATCACACAGTAGTTACAAGAATGTCAGATATAATGATGTATACAATCTAAACAAGACAGGCTAATTAAGAACTTACATAATGTAAAAATACACACATTAAAAGTTAGCCCTAATAGGGAAAGAGCATTAAAATAATGCATGCAGCGGGAAGAGTAGTTGGAAGGTCGGGGGTCAAGTGCCCATATGCAGTACTATTGCTTCTTCCCCCCTCTCTCCCCCCCCCCGTTAATAAGTAATTTCCACTAACAGGTACAGGTATACCACACATCTAAATACACAAAGGTAAATCGTGACCTGCTACAGTACAGGCTAAAGTGGTCTGTGATCTTTCTGTGCTACTCCCACAAAAATAGTAAATAGTGAACCCCATGCAGGTAGTAGGAAGCATTGGTTATTCTAGTTGAACTTGGAAAATGTTTAACTTCTGACATTAATATCTGTGAAGAGCATTAGGTCTCCTTTTGCTATTGTTTTCTTCACAACTGACATGCACTTGGGAGAGGAGGAACTTTGATGGTTGGTTGACCTGCAATGACAACTGAAATACTCTTAAAAATGTGGTAACTTTTTTTTTTGCTGTAGTGTTCCATGATTCATTGTTTGCGTATAACAACCAGTGCTCCATGCAGTACGTGCCCTCTTTAATACCCATCACCAGGCTAACCCATCCCCCACCCCTCTCCCCTCTAGAACCCTCAGTTTGTTTCTCAGAGTCCATAGTCTCTCATGGTTTGTCTCCCCCTCCAATTCCCCCCCTTCATTTTTCCCTTCCTACTATCATCTTTTTTTTTTTTTTAACATATAATGTATTATTTGTTTCAGAGGTGGTAACTTTTTAATAAGAGTCACACACTTAACATAAAACATGGATCATCTACAGCTTTAGGCCAAATGGTAGAGGGAGTGCATCTGAATTTTAATGCTTTAGTTTCTGTGTTCTGTAGTTTCTAGCACTGTCCTAAGAAATGAAGCGGATAGAATAGCTTGTTTCTTTACCAGAGCAGACAGCAGTTTGACTTCTTAGAGAATATACAAACCAGGAAAAATGTCACATGTTCTTTTTCTGGGCCCTTTGAGAAACTAGACCAAAATTTTAAATTATTCAAGGTTCTTATTGAGCAGTGGTCTTTTCTGTTATTGTCTAGAGAAGCAAAGAACTTGCCAGCACAGCGAGAGCGCGGGCTCCTGGTACACGTACACGAGGAGCAGGAACCTTGGGCAGCAGTTCAGAGTTTTCCTACTGCCATTTTCCCTGCTTTTTTCCAACGATTATAGCAAATGGGGGGGGGGGCTATGCTTGACAACTTAGGCTTAAAGATCCTCTTACAGAGATTTCCCCAGTTGAATAGAAACCCTTCTACAAAAAGTTGGCTGGTTCAGCAAACCTAGTAAAGAATGTCTTTCTGAATGCTTAAATTGCAGGTTCCTAATAGGGAAAGAGCATTAAAATAATGTGAAGGTCTATTTTACTGGCAACTTAGAATGCAAAGTATTTTATTTTTAAACTTCTAAATTTGAAAACAAAACAGCCTAGGTTAAATAATATAGTTTTCCAAAGCTGAATGTGCTCATTTGGAGCTCAGTTTTTCTGCTTGCAGTACAAAACAACTTCCTAAAACTCCTAGGCAGAAACACTACTGCTTTGATTATCTGAGACTGGATGAACTGATCAATCTCAGTTGGTAATATCCCCTATTTTTTCCCCCTGGTAAGGGTTTAAAAAAAATTCAAGAACAGATGCGTTTCTCTAGTCTTACACAGACAATTTCATTCCAATGTCTCCTGAGAAGCATAGACCATATACAGGAATCAGTGTTTGTCCTTCTCACTTTCATACACTTTAGAAATCAGTGTGGACACACTCACCATGCTGTGTCCATTCACTAACAGGAAAAAGGCTTGATTAACGTGCAACCTGATTTTTTATTAAAAATATATATGGAGTACTGGACATTTTTCCATGCCAATACATATAGACCCATCTTATTTTTAATGGTTGGGTCACAGGTCACAGTCCATTACATCCATGGTTTCCCACTAGGTAGGGAAAAAGTGATGCTTGAGAGGAATGACCACCTTCTCTAGACAACTCATTTAAATTCTAAGATTGGAGTACCTCTGATGGTAGTAGGATAAATAAGTCAGGCTTGTGGTTTCTTTTCTCCCTATAGTGTTAGTATAGACACTGTTGCTTAAATGACAGCTACTTCCCTTGCAAGCTGAGACCAAGGAGGCATTACCTGCCCACTAACTTCTAAGCAAATGGTCTTCCTGCTTGGTGGCAATTTGGGAGAGCAGAAGCAGCCCTAATTAAACCCTCCAGCTCTGTACCGTGCTCAGGGAAGGCAGTTATCAAGATTCTCTGCATGGTACAACATGGTACTCCTGAAAGGCCCATGTGGATTAGCAAATGCATGAAAATATTTGGTATAAGTCCTGTCTGCCCTATTGACAAATTATTAGAAGTGGCTTTGGTCTCTTTATTATAGAAATACCCTATGCAATTTCCCTTGCTAATCAGCAAAGATTATCTCTAACAGGTAAGGATTATTCAGTAACTAATGTTATTTATCTGGTATGCTACATTTTTAGAGAGTTACCAGATGATGTATATTTTGGTTGCAAAATACCCTTGAGCATTAACTTATTCTAGTGTCTTGGCCTCATTATGAGAATGTTTCAGTTGTGTAGAAATAATCTGATTGTCTATATGTAGACAGTCATACCTGTTATTCTTCCCTTTGATATGCCATACTCTTCCTCATTAGTATTTGGAAATCTATATGAAGCACACCAGATACATAGACTGTATTTTGGTATACATACTAAAGGCCAGACTAACCCATGGTATTTTCATGGCAGGTTTTTGAGATGGATATTTCTAAACAGTTACATGCCTATGAGGTGGAATATCACGTTCTGCAGGATGAGCTTCAGGAATCATCATATGCCTGTGAGGATAGTGAACCTATGGAGAAGCTGGAGAGGGCCAATAGCCAACTGAAAAGACAAAACATGGACCTCCTAGAAAAGTTACAGGTAAGGAGATAAAGATTTGCTCAAAAAAGCACTTGACTGCACAGAACTATACCAGGAATTAGAGATGTGACGTGGATTGAACCATTGCCGACAGAGGGTCTGTGTATCAGACTGTGTTCAAGTGTTCTGGGGGCTGCTACAAATGCACAAATCAACCTAAATATCACTAGGGAGAGAAAATGTACACTCACAAAATATTAAATGGCAATTCAAAACAATCTGGTTAAATACCTGTAGGGTGTTACACATATTTGGTTAAGTTCAAAGGCGGAGGGGCTGAATATGGGAAAATGGGAAAGCTCTGGAGGACTTGGGGCTTGAGCTGGACTCTGAAGGATTGGTGGGAGAAATGAGTGGGGGGGTTGGTATAAATAAGGAAGATGGGGCAGAGCAGCAGAGTAAGCTTGGGGTCAGTTTAAGAGTTATGTTGGGGAAGGGTAGGATAAATGTGTGGAGGCAGAACTATAGACGACTTTCAGTGTCAAGCAGAAGAGCACGGCTTTAATTCTGTTGAGAGGGAAATCTCTCAGAGCTTTTAAGCTGTACTTTAGAAAGAACAATCTGGAAACCTTGATGAGTACACATTTGCATGGGGAGAGAAGGTATGGAGACTAGCTAGAAATCACTTGCAGAAATCTGGGGACAGTGAGAATTGTCTAGAGTAAAACTCACTGAAATGGAAAAAAAGGCATTTTTGAGAGAATCGAATGAAAACATGTAACACATAGTCCCTTCCATCAAGGAATTTACAATTACTTGGGAATATAAAATACTACGTATTTATTTATAAATGAACATTTACAAAAGCAATAAGCAAGTTAGTATAAACTAATATTCTGCATCTGCAACTTGTATGATGTGAGCTGTGTATCCAGGCCCCAAGGGTCAGGGCTTAAGAGTGATCAGTGGAGGGGAGATTAGGAAGGGAACCTTCTGGGAGGTGGGGGAGATGAGTTCTGAGTTGGAGCTGAAGTGCCTAATGGCTCCTTGATTTCTGTCTACCCCCCACTTCCCACCATGATACCTGTTCCTAAGCTAGAGAATACTAAAACTCTGCTTCTATGTGGTGAGTCCCCTGACAAGAATGACTAGGAGAGAAAGGCTTAGAAACGAGGGGTCTCCAGAGTAATTGCTCCCCAAGGATAGGAACTCTGACTTCCTTCACTTCATTTTACATTAGCTCCTGCCCACAGAAAACCGTATGCCCATTCAAACAAAGAGCCAACACTGTTTTCAAAAAGAAAAACATTGGGGTATTGTCCCTTATTATTTGATGCTTCAATGGTGATTGAGCCCTTTTCTATTAGGAAAAGTGGGTTTGCACCTGCTTTATATTATAATGATTTTTATCAATAGTTACAAACTTTTTCATTGACAGTTAAATGTCATCATCATGTCTTGGTTCCCAAGTTATGTGGGAACCCCTGACACCCACTGAAACTGATAGGATACCAAGTATGTGTTTAGAAAACCCTGTATTTCTAGTCAGGGGGTGGAAAGCCTCTTTCAGCACCTCCGGGCAGCGTCAGAAATCTCCCGTTTCTCCTTCAGCCAGATTCCACTCACTCCAGGGGAATACAGTGAGGCCCCCACCACTGTGGGATGCTGATTTAATCTTGCATTTTTGTTGTATTCAGTGTATTCAGTGACATGAGGTGGATTTTGTCAGTACTGCAGTTACATTTTGAGAAACCCCTGTCACAGAGGGTTTCAAAGTATTCGCTTCACATACTATTTTATTAACTAATGCGATATGATTGGGTTACTAGATCTAAGGTCTAGCTGAGGTTCTGATGAGGAACCGGACTCTTCAGATTTTTGATTTGGAGGAATTTGCGTTTGTTTTTCTTTCCCCCAAACAGATAGCTCATGCTAAAATCCAGACCTTGGAATCCAATCTGGAAAACCTTCTGACCAGAGAGACCAAAATGAAGTCTTTAATCCGGACTCTGGAACAAGAGAAAATGGCTTATCAAAAGACAGTGGATCAGATCCGGAAGCTGCTGCCAGCCGATGCGCTCGCCAGTTGCGAATCATTGCTAAGAGACCTCACTTGCAACCCTAACAACAAAGCCAAGACAGGAAACAAGCCATAATTGAAGAAGCACCACATCAGCAGAACGTGCTCTTAGAATGGTGAAGAAGGGAAGCGTCTGCATGCTGCCGGCCCAACGCTGGACACCGGAGCTGACGGAACCACTGCAGTCTGGTGCTGAGCCCTAGTCCTCGAGGGTGGACCTCACTCTCGTTAGAGTACGCTAATCCTAAGCCATTGTACATATGTAGACTGGTTTTATGTTGTTGACTATGTACATAGACATAAAATGGACGTAAAGAGTTCATGCCTTCAGATCAAAGGAGTAGATGTATATTTAGAGTAATTTTTTTAAATCAAAACTTCATGAAATCCACACCAAAGGGAAGTTAAAATGAAATTCCCCTTGGACATAGGTGAAATCATTTTGTCTTTGTAGTGAAACAAAGCTAGAGCATCTTTGTATATTGAAATATACTTGAAAAAAATGAATGTATTTTTTTCTCCAAAGAACAGCATGTCTCACTCAATGGTGGAGAGGTAGAAACATTTGTGTAACTTTATGTATATCTGTCTTAAAATCTACTGACATTATGTATATCTGAGGAAAATGACAAATTGCCAGTTATGCTCCTATGGGTTTTTCAGGAAGGTGGGGGCCTTCCTCCCCCGCCTGCTTTGTGCCAACTAGCATGTTGTTGTCTACATGCATTTTGAGTCAGGTTAGGCATGACTTTGGACATGCATAAGGAGAAAGCAAGACATCGTAGTGGAGTCTACCCACCCAGCTCAGGGTGAAAGAGAATGTTGCTAATTTCTCAGCAAATTAGACCAGCATTGTTACTCAAACTAAAAATATCAGGCCTCCACAATTTCACTTAGGACCTAAATTGTCTAGATCAACTTTCTATTTTTTATTTAAATTACTCCTTACAGTCATGAATGGACTCCCTTTTACTTGGTGCCATAGTTGGTGACAAGGATTTGTCATTTTCCCACTTACAGGAGCTCCTAATTTAGTTCTCTCTACCTTAAATGAAAGATAGGGAAATTATGATTGGTTTTCTAAAGATAATATGCTGTGTTGAGATACTTTTTTTTTTTTTGCCAACTGATCGAATCTAATAAGCTCTCAATCATCTTTCCCTTGTATGTGAAAGTTTGTGAGAACTGTGAAATGTTTAAGAATAAACTGTTGAAATCCATTGGAGAGAAGTGGAAAGTGGCACCAGGCTCTTCTAAGACCTACTTCTGTGTTTGAACTCCCAGCTTCCTCAGCCTACAGCTTATCAGAGGACATTCATGCATGCTGGGTATGTGGAGGAAAAGTAATTTTCAGACTACACATGCAGTTCTCCATTTCAGAGATGATTCTATGGTAGTGCCTCTGAAAGTTGATGCAGCATTTTTGCCTTTCCAAACAATATTATCATTTCTGCTTTTTGCAGTCCTTATCACAGATGGATTACTTGGGATAATTTTCTTCAGAGGGAGTTTTTTATACACTAGCCACAGCGTATTATAGGTTAGAAGGGCAAAGCTCTCAAGGTTTGGGAAAACCTTGAAGAGCAGATGATAAGCATCTGAACCCCTGCCTTTACACCATTACTCAGTGTAAATGTAATGATTCTTGTTACAAATCATCATGCCCTCTAATCCAGTTTTTTTAAAAAAGAAAATAAAATCTTATTAGTAAAGTTAATGTAATTTCTAGCTCTAGGAAATGCAGATTCTAGGTCCCCTATTAAGTTGGGGTTATCAACTGATTTGTTGCTTGGATTCCCTCAAATTTCTCTATTTGTAGGAGAGGTTTTTCCTATGAGGAATATGACAGATACCATCTGGTTACTGTCTGGTATGAGAATTACCTTATGTGTGTGATATACAGGCGGTAGCCAAAGAATCTTTAAGTTGGGAAAAGAAACTTTCCCTTTCAGTTCAGTTTCAAGTAAATTTTATTCTGGATATTCAAAGTCAACGTCATGAGCTGTGTTACGGTATTCAGAGATTAAAGTGTCTTGGATACAGTATTTCTTCTGAAAATGAATTTTCTTTTTTCTTTTGTGATTTTTTAAATGTTGCACCAGTTATGCTTATGCATTGTTACATCTTCATCCAATTAATGTAATGTCTAGCTCATTTCCAATAAATCTATTGCTACGGTTTCCTTGGAGTATTGGTTTGTGTTTATAATAGGAAAGAAGATGCTCTTGTTTAGAGTTCTTTACAAAATCTGCATGGGCTGGATTATTGCTACTTAAAATTGCTTCAACGATAATTCTTTTTAATAGAATCAGAGAACAAAGATAATTGATAGAAATATGAAAGTCTATTGTCAGTCAGTGGAGCCTTTTGCTGTTGAATATAAAAAGAAAAAGACAACCACACTGACAGATTTGCATTCTATTCCTTTTTGTTTTCTATGCTCCCTCATAGATCACAAGGGAGAGAAGAGGAGAAGAAAATATAATTTTTAAAAAATTGGGTTAGTTTCCAAATAATTAAGAATAGTTATTAATGGATATGATGTGAATGTGTTTACATATATATCTTCAGAATATTCTCTAGTATGTTTATAATCCAGTACAAGGATACTGGATCTTCTGGTAACTTTAGGACTAGAACTTTTATGAGATATTTTGCATTACAGGTAGTAAACACTTTGAGTGTCAGTGTAGGCTTACATAGTATGGTCTCTTAATATCCATGTTCACTTACCCATTTTATGACCATTTCACCAATTTGTTTTTACTGTGCTAGATTAAGAATAGGAAATCTGTCATCTGAAGTATTTGGTCCTCTACCATAATGTGTCACTCTTACTGGCTGTGATATATTGAGAAAAGCACTAGATTTAAGGTGGGAAATTTTAGATCTGAGTCTTGGTTCCACCACTTTTATTTATTCATTCAACCAATAGTTTTTGTAAGCCAAGCTAGATGCTGAGTATTGAGAGGTGGAGGAGATATAGTCCTTGTCCTTGACGTGCTTGCAGTCTAGTGGCAAGGGGATAATTAGGAAGCAAGAGAATTTATATTACAGGTCCGCAAAGTAATCCAGATGAGAATCACTTCACTCAGCCTAGACTGGAGGGACTGGCAGCACCGGAAGTGGGTGTCAAAAGTGTTTGGAGGAAGTGATGCTTGACCTGAATCTAGAAGAGCCAGTAGGAGGTAAGTTGTGTTAAACAGGAGATGAATGAGAGAGGATGGTATATTTCTGAAGTCACAACTCATTAATTCTGAAGTACAGTTAGTACTCCCATGGGGGAGAGGTGGGAGACAAACATGGACTCTATCATGAAGATCTTAGTAGACCTTGTGACAGAGTTTGGACTCCACCTAGAGAGAAATGGGAGCTGTTAAAGTCCAGTAACCTAGAGAGAGACACAATCGGATTTGCTCTAATCTAAACCCAATTTCTACATTGGACAGAGACTAGGAAATGGGAGACTGCAGTTTGGTGATTTCCATAAAAATCTAGGCCAAATAAAATAGTAAAAACTTGATCTAGAGCAGTGGCCTTTGGGGAAGCAAGTCAGTGTAGACTTCTGTCTCTTGACAGAGTTAGTCACTGAAACCTGATAGTTTTATCTGCAAAATATTTACCCATTTTCCAATTTCTGCCCATTGCAGCTACTTTCATTCATCTCCTTGCTCTGGTGGGTTAAACTGAGATCATTTCCCACTTCTGGGGACAAACTCCTAAGTCACAGATATTGAACTACTTGGTTTTTGTTTTGTTTTGTTGACTTAGAAATGGAAGCAGAAAGTGGGGTCAAAGAGGGGAAGGATCTAGGATAGACAGGGAATCAGCTGGGGGTATAGGGAAAAAGCAATAGAAGTGATGGTCAGTGGGACTTTCTGGAGTGACGTGCTCTGCAAGCCTATTCTCCCATCTACCCATGCCATTCATGGTGTTCCCCATTATGGAACTAGATTTGTTTTGCTTCAAACCCCACTTCAGGGTGAGCAGCACCAAAGGGCATGCCAAAGGGCGCCTACCCAAGTGTGGGTTATCCTCTCTTACCTGGACTGCTCCTCACCTCAGGCAGAGGGACCTTCCTAAAACATAAATCTCACCTAAGTTTAGCTTCAGCTTAAAACCGTTCAAAGGCTCTTCTTCCCTCCCAGGATTATCCAGTCTTTAAGATGACACATTTGGCCTTCTATGAGCCTGTCCTTCATAACCCGTCTAGCTTTGTCTCCTGCCTGTGGCCCCATCTTGTCCCCTCCTCTAGTCACATGGTTCAAGTCTACCTCCTTTCCTGAAGCAGCCATCGTTCTGTTTTGGACAGGCTGGTCCCTTCCAGAGAGCTTGGGAGTGCTCCTTTCTTCCTGCATTCCAATGAGCTTACTCCTTCAGAACCCCCGTAGGTCTGTGTAGTAAGACAAACTGACCACCCTCACTACTGCCCAGGGACTACTGTCACAGTGTCATAGCATTAGTTACCTCAAAAAAAAAGGGAACCATGATTCTTTAAAATCAAAAATCTTTTATCTGTAAGATCGCTTTAGATAGAATGGCACCAGGATCTGAGAGCTTCAGCTGTGATCTAATTGAATATATTTGCATAGCTAAAGAACAGTTAGGTTAATCAGAAGAAAACGAGTCTTGGAAAGATAGGAGAAAGAAAACCAGTCAGTTTTGGTAGATCCAGTGGAGGGAACCCTAGCCAAGACCACTAGCAAGCCTGTCCTCATTGTTAAAATGAATACAGAGGTGGGGTGCCTGGGTGGCTCTGTCGTTAAGCATCTGCCTTCGGCTTGGGTCATGATCCCAGGGTCCTGGGATCGAGCCCCGCATAGGGCTCCCTGCTCCGTGGGAAGCCTGCTTCTTCCTCTCCCACTCCCCCTGCTTGTGTTCCCTCTCTCGCTGTGTCTCTCTCTGGCAAATAAATAAATAAAAATCTTTAAAAAAAATAAAATGAATACAGGGAGTCCTGGCTTCCAGAATCCAAGGGCTCTGGTCCCTCTGACAAGTCTGTCCTTGTTGTGAGATTGCTGTGTCACCTGTGTTGGACAGACGTCTCAAACATCCAATTCAGTGGACTACCCTTGTTCTTTTTTTTTTTTTATTAATGTATGCCTTCACAGCAGGCTTCCATTTATGATTTAGTTTTTTTTTCTCTGTTAGGCTAGGCTACTTATAAAAGAGCAAATACTCAAATCCCTGTGACAGTACTGTTTTTCTATAAATTAAAAACAAGGATTCTGAATTTTCAAAATTGTGGTAAAATACACATAACATAAAATATACCATCTTAATCATTTTAAGTGTACAGTTCAGTGGCATTAAGTATATTCACCTTGTGTATCCATCCATGAACTCTTTATCTTGCAAAACTGAACCTCTGGTACCTATTAATAACTTCCCAATCCCCCCTCCTCCCAGCCACTGATAACTACCATTCTGCTTTCGGTCTGTATGAATTTGACTATTCTAGTACCT